TACAAATATACAGTAAAATACAATTAATGTTTCGTTTTTGCAACGTGATATGATTAGAGGAGTAGGCAATTTTCAAATGAAATGCTTTTTTCCGACAACTTCAACATACTATTAAGATTTTGCATCAGGCTAGGCTTAAAAAATTTCATCAGAAATATACTAAATTACAAAAAAGTGCAAGGGGCATAACGTCTATTGTAAAAGAAATCATAAGACTAGTTTCAAAATTACGCTTGACTTTGCCTACAAAATAATCTTCTCTTAATATTGTCGACGAAATGACCCCTGATGACAAAATGACCCTGTCGACGAAATGACTTGTCAAAGAAATGACCCTGTCGACAAAATAACCCTGTCGACGAAATGATTAGTCGATGAAATGACCCTGCCGAGGAAACGATCATGTCGACGAAATGACCTGTTGACGAAACGGCCTGTCGACGAAATGACCCTGTCAACAAAATGACCCTGTCGACAAAACTACCATGTCGACGAAATGACTTGTCAACGAAATGATTTGTCGATAAAATGACCCTGTCGATGAAACGATCATATCGACAAAATGACACTGTCGACGAAATGACTTGTCGATGAAATGATCCTGTCGACTAAATGACTTATCGACGAAATGATCCTGTCAATGAAAAGACCCTGTCGACGAAACGACTTGTCGACGAAATAACTTGTCGAGGAAACAACCCTGTCGAGGAAACGGCCTGTCGACGAAATGACCTAGTCGATGAAGTGGTGTCGATGAAGTGATTGTCGATGAAATGAATGCGACCCAAGGAAAGACATTGAACAGGTCTATCACAAAGAAAATTTGAGTTAAAGCAAGGTCGAAAGAACACAAAAGGGAATATTTGAATTTACAGCAGAAAAAAAAATTAGCAAATTAAGTTCAAAATTTGAGTAGTTATTTAACAGTTAAGTTCCATACTTGACTTCATGCAGTCCTGTGCATTTGATAATTGATAAAAAGAATATGTAAACTAGGGGTGCACAACCTTTTTGAGTGAAGGGCCACTTGCACAGCAGGTTGGCTAACAAAGGGCCGCACATGTATTTAGACATGTTAATGACAAATGTAATAATGTTTATTTAAACATTAGCGTTCAATTTTTTTTATCAATAAACACTTAGTAATATCAATAACTTAGTAGTGTTCCATTATTAGAATTCATTCAAAAATAAAAAAACTTGATACTTTTTTTTTTTTTACCAAAAAAAAAAAATTGCTATTTTTATTATATGAACAATAGATTTATCAAAATAAATAAGCATTGAAGAAAAGAAATATTTTTCTTTTATCATATCATGCAATATGAAAACTCATTTTAGAATTAAATTCTAATAAATTAAAAAAAAATGCAATGCCCACAGAATGAAAGTAGGAAAAAGTTTAGTTGTAATTAAGTAATATAAATTCAAATTAAACATTTTAATTGAAGAAAATTTATAGGTTTTTTTCTTCTAAAATTATGGCAATGAGAAAAGTTTAAATTGAGATTTTCACTTAAAAAATTAAGAACATTTTTTCTATCTTTTTATTTTCTTTAAATAAAACTTTTTTTAGATGTTTTCATTATAACGCAGTAATTTTTAATAGCATTTCTGTTAACTTAATTCTTTTTTCTTGACTTTTTCTGGTAATTGAAAAACTGAGATGTTCAGCTTTAAAAAAAATTTTCAAAAATTAAGATTGATTTTTATGTTCTCTGTTTCGCTTTTCGGCATTTTCAAAAACGTTCTTGATTGGCCTTATTTTTTAGAGTTAATTTATGAATACGTTTTTCCAGGAAATATTATTCTGAGCATTGAAATTTTAGTTTCAGTGTTGCTATACTGCTGAAAGATTTTGCTATTTGGCCCCAAGTGTACGGCGTTCAATAGATTTTTTATTCTTTTTTTTGCCGAATATTTGGTTTTTGATCAAATCACAATTCATTACCACATTCGACCAAATCATATTCGTTGCAGAAATAAAAACGAAGGAAAAATAACTAGGATTAACGATTAAACTGTACTGTAATATCGTATCAAAAAGTGATTATTTAATTGCGTGATTAACAATCACGTGTCGTAATAACATCATAGTTAAATAACGGGATCGTCAAAATCACGAGGAAAATCATATAAATAATTAGGAAAAAATATATTTATGCTGAACTCAGCATGAATAAAGCGCGTCAAATGCATGATTTAAAATTTGCATGTCGTAACAGAATAATTGGAATTTTCTATAATACGTGGGAACGCATAGCAATAACTGCCGAGAAAAATTTAAAAAAAAAGAAAGAATTGCAAAAAAAAAAAAAAGATAAAAAATCACTTAGATTTAAGATGAAATCGTCACAAATAAAGTGCACAAAAAGTGATTATTTAAATTTGCGATCTGAAACTCGCGTCGTAATAAAAATTCTGAATTTTCAAAATCACGTAGAAAAGCGGAAATAACTATTTAAAAAAAAAAAATTTATATTTACGATAAATTCGGCTTCAAGAAAGCGCGTTAAACGAACGTTTACTAAAGAATCTGTTAAAATTGATTGCGTCAAAGCGTGATGACTTAAAAGTGCGATTAAAAATTGCCATTTTTTAAAAAAACATTTTATTGTGTTTAGAAGCTCTCGCGGGCCGCACTTCAGTAGTCGAAGGGCCGCAGGTTGTGCACCCCTAATGTAAACCATGACCCGCATTTGAAAAAAAAAACCCATTGCAGATAATTCTAATGAACACTACAGAGAATAAGCATTAGATAAGAAAGAAGGATCAATAAAACGCCACACACTTAAAACATTATTAACTATTGATAAAAAGGAGAGAGATGATAGTATTGATAAAAGTAAACAGTACAGAGAATATGGAAAGATTTTAATTGAATAACAGTTTATCAAGAAAAGCGGTCAACTTCTAGTAAGAATTAAAAAAACTTTTCATGGATGTCATACCTAATGAGTTTAAATTATCAAGATTCATTAAAAAAAGGAATCAATGGTAAAATTTTTTTCTTTTTTAAAAAACAAACAAAAAACACCTGGATTAGCAGTATTAGCAAAAAAAAAAAAAAAAAAAAAATAGTTTTGACTAATAGGACTCAGGACAGTAAGTATTTTACTTTTAACTTAGTAATATTTCTACAGTGAAAATTATTTAATATCAGTAACTAGATTCATTTAAGTACATTTCTGAGCTAATATTTTGTTATAGTCACAAAGAAAAAATTTCTATGTATTTTATTTTATTGATGAGACATTTTCATCCTAAATAAAAATAATTCAACAGGATTTAAATAAATAAAAACTTTTATTCAAAACATAAAAGACATATTTGCACTTCATTTCTTCCTACGATACCTGCAATGAAATACAATAAATATTTAAATGGAAAATTAATATTTATGCATGTAAAAATAAACAATCAATTGTAATAATGAAGTTTCATTACCTAGTTTTTGATTTAAACTTCTTATTTGGTTTCTTTTTGAGTTTCATTTTCTTCATTTTTTCCATTTTCTCATGATGTGTGGCCCTTGAAAAAGATATTTTTATAGCACACAATTTGAGTACCACAATTTTACATTAATACAAATGAGAAAGAATTTTATAATTGTTAGCATTAGTCATCAAACTATAAGTTCAGAACTCCATTGCATGTTCATTTAAACAGACAAAAAATATTATAGAAAACTATAAAAATAAATACTATAATAATCTTTCATATGTTTGAAGTATTTTACTTAATTTTCAATTTATTACTATCTGAATATTAGGAGTATCGTCACATTTCATATTGAAAGGAATTTGATCATGCATATTAGCTAAAACACATTTGTACACTAGAAAAAAAACTAAAAACTATATCAACTAGCCTCACTTTACTTGCTTAAAAAATCAGAATAGGATTAGTGAACATTATTAATTTCACTATCATTTACTTTGAACACACATTTTACGGCAGCTATACTAACTTTAAGAAGTGAACTATCACTTGTATATTTGCATATATATTCGAATCTATTTAAAAAAAGGCATGATTAACGTGAAAACTAAGAAACAAAATTCAGAGCATAAAACTTTTAGGAAAGACCACCTCTAAGTAGCGATTTCTATGTACGACCAATAAGGAAATCATGGAATTTCTTCCATAGATTTTGTGTTGAAGAAAACCTTTGGGAGAGGCCACCAAAATCTGTTCCAGCAATTGAGCAAACCTCTGCACCAAATGGGAAAGAGCTCAAATAAGGAAACACGAAAGAATATCAAAACAAAAAATACTAACAAAACAAATAAGTAAATTAAAATGTATTCAAAATATTTGTGCAAGGCTCTTATTTAGCGAGTTCTTTTAGATGATAGCTGGAAAAGATCAACAACTTCATGTTGCAGTCAGAAAGCAGAAAAGACATTGCTAGTAATTTATTTTTAAGGCTGAAAGTTAAATTAGAAATTTTTTTTTTAGAAAAAACTAAGCATCTCAAACAAACAAACCTCTTCTCATCTTTTAAATTTAAAAAATATTTATGATATAAATTTAAATGGCGACTATAACAAAAGGCATAATTGTGTATTAATTTAAAATGGTTCTACCATAATTGGTAAATTTGTATTTAAACATTATTATATGAGTAAGAAACCTTTTTTATTGACACCATAAATTTTGTTCATGAATCTGGTTCCAACACAAGTGGCATTTTCGCACCAAGAAAATTACTATGACAAAAATTAAAATCGCTGTAATCCCCAAGAACAACCAACCTCCATTAACGACCATTTTACTGTGGAATAGTAAAGAGTTGTTTGTCCCATTAGGTTTAGTAGTATATATGGAACAGTAAAGAGCTGTTTGTTCCATGAGGCTTAATAGTATATATATTTACTTACTCATATCTAAATCCTTTGAGTGTAGTTCTACTGGTGTCACCTAATTCTTTGTCAAAATTGCGTTGCATTCTCCGCTTTTCTGCAATTATAAATATATATATATATCAATGCAAGAAATTAACACCTGAGAGATAAAAGAATAAAAAAAAGTCCTTTTGCAAGTTTCAAACTTTTGTAAAATGTATAAACCTATGTAGATTAATCACTATTGTTAGCTGCATGTGTATGTATAACATTAGTAATAACGGCAACACGCAACATGCCGCATAGGCTTTAAATGAATATTTATCTAGTGTTGTTGTAGTGCAAAAGAGAAGAATGACAGTTAAGTTAGGAGTTACTACATTATTAACATGCTTACAGACGATTTTGGTCTAGTGCGATAGTTACTAGATTAGCAAACATAGCAGCATGAAATCGGCAGCAAATATGTTAAACTGTAAAAAAAAAATCTCTGTAATCCACGGAAAAATCTCTGTAAAACCTCATCTCTTTCGTCTCAAAATATACACTATGCTAGTAAACAAATATACATTAATATACAAAATATACACTATGCACATCCTGAAAATGAATATATAATAGTCTACCTATTGCTAATAAAAAAAAAAACAATTTATTTTTGCAGAAAAATTTACAAAAGTAAAGTAAATAAGGATTTCGAAATGATGCTTTTGATTAGTTACATGCATTGTTTTTCACTTCTTTTGTATTTAAAAGCATAATAGCACATAAATAGCAACATTGATATGAGTTTAAAAAAAATTATCTTTCAGATAGAAATTTTTTTTAAGTTATTAATTTTTTGTGATATTTTTATTAATAAAAGATAAAAAAAAGAAAAACATACATACTACAGCTGAGAAATAACATTAAAAAAAGGACATATTATGACTTTACATATGTAAATGTTTCAATACATAAAAAAATTTAGGAGACTGACTTAAGTCCAGATAATTTTTATTAATGAAATAAACTTAGCTTAGAGTTTCAGGCAACTGCAGAAGAAATTGAATTTTTTTATTTTTATTTATTTTAAGTACAATTCTAAAAAGCTTAATATTTTTACACAACTAACTATTTTATTTAAATTTTTTTTTCAGGGGTAATTGTGTCGCAGAGTGAAAAACTCAGAAAATTTTACGTGCAAAAAATCAATGTCAATTAACATACCATACATGTTTTAAATTTAACATTACTTTTTGAACTAACATTTATAATTAATTACCTACTAATACAGAATACCACACCTTTAGAGTAACTAATTCAAGAAAAAACTCATTTCTTACTAAAATTGAGATATTGCGTTTAAGGTTACGTGAATATGAATCGCGATATTGGATATTAAAAATGCAAAAATACAATATTGAACTTTTAAATTGCGCAAATACGAATAACTGTACATGAATTTTAAATCGTGTGAATACAAAGCACAATGAGTAGTTTTTAAGTAACGTATAAATTGATATTGATGATGATTCGTGAATACGAATCGCGATATTAAACGCGTAAAAACAAATTGTGATATTAAATTTTTAAATGACGTGAATAGGAATGGCATAATAAGTAGATTCCAGAGCAGTTCTAAATATTCAAAATGGCAAAAGTCTGCCAAACTGAAAGAATAATGTAAGTCTTCAAGTAATTAGCAAAAGAATGTAGATAAACATCTCGTTAACGTAATTTAGAAGAAGCTCAAGAATTTTGTCGAATTATAAGTTTTTTAGTCGCAGCAGTTCGTAAAACAATCAACGTGTGTGAAATTCTGCAATCTTCACACAAACATCGCATGCACCGCTTCTAGTTTTTAGACCCGGAAGAATGATGAGAAAAACATGGAATTCTGGGGTAACCCGGAATATAGTCACCCCTGTTTTTTACACTTAAGATAATACAGCATTCACAACATATAAAATAATGCTTTAATAAACACTTACTATGCTTGGGTTCATCCTCAGAAATCGCCCTTGTCCTTTGGGGCTTTTGGGATCTCTTGGCCTGTCTTGCCTGAAACTGGGCAGCTTTCTGAAGTTCCACAGATATACGATCTTCAGTCTGAAACAAATAAAAACATTTTCACACATGAAAAAAAAAAAAAAAAAAAAAAAGGTGGACATCAAAAGAAAAAAATAGAAAAATTTTTGGGCTAAGCTATTATTGATACTTAATTCTTTCTTTAAGTAAAAATTGTTTTATTAACCAGGTAAGAAAAGTGATTCACACATTTGATGGTTTTTAGTGAGGCATAGTGATATAGCATCAACATATTTCTCAGAGATTAAGCATTTTTCACTACAAATATGTACCTATACAATATTTGAGCCCTAGCCAGTAGTTAGTTTTTATTATTACCAACCTTCAGCAAACAAACTTCAAATACACAAGCAACAAAACTAAGAAGAAATGATTTCCTCTTTAATTAAGAAGCTGCTTTTCAGTGAAAATAAGCCAGATTAATGCTGTAGTACATTTACATTTAATAAAACTATTTAACGAAGAGTTTGTATATCCATAAATATTTCAGTTGGTAGAAAATTTGATGAAAAATTATTAATTGACATTTGCAATTTCCAAAGTAAAAATGGAAATCACTGTTAGAAAGATAACATAGCACACTATTTTTTTTTGTAGTCAACATTGTAAAAGTATTTGTTTCAGATATTTCCTATTGATTTTCAGGCTTATTTTAATCGAGATATTATGCTAATATTTTTGTGGCATTTTAAAATTTAGGTTTAAGAAAACATTTACGTACAAACATTGTTGAATTTATTTACATTAATAAATTTGGCCAAATTATAACATGTATAGGAATCTTCAAAACATCACAATTCAACTACATGCAGAGATGCCGAACAGCAAATATATATTTTAAAGTGGTAAATTATCAATTTTGATTCTTGGTTTAATAAATTCAATTTAGTAGATTTTTATCCACCCCTAATTCTAAATAATTTGTAGGGTTATATAATTCTCCCCTTTATAGTACTTAGGTCATGCTATACCTTTTAAAAACCAAGCAAAAATAGTCAAATATTTAAAAAAAATTTTTGTAGTTATTTATTGTTCTTTTATTTACTTTCGCGTGTCTGGAGCATCTCTGTACATGTATAATATAAAGAATTTTTTTTTTACATATATTTGTTATTGTAGATATAAAATCTTATGATAAATTAAAAATCATTAAATTAGGTTAGTACTAGTTGTTGAAGCTTAATTCTAAGACTAACTTTATTATACTCACTGATGGTATATCTCCTCCTTTTTTCTTTTTGCTTTTTGGATTGCCAAGCCTTAATGCAACTGCAAATATTAATATAAAAAAAGAATAGTGTAAGTGACCATAAACTTATATATTAACTATGAATTTTAATGAAAAACATAACATCTTTTGATTCAGTTAAGATTTATTATAATTGAAGATGAAAGAAAGAAGGCAATCCAATTGTCATTTTTTTTTTTTGGAAAATGGACATAGACTGTTCTTCTCCCTTGATCATCAATACTAAAGATTATAATAGAAGTAAATATTGTTTTTTAAAAGCAAAAGTAATCAGACATTTAAGTTGATCTCTTAACATTATGTTTACGTCTGGTAAAAAGGAGTGTAAAAATAAAATGATCATTCTTTAGAGAAGTTTTTTTTAAATAATAACTTAAAGGTTAATATATAAAGAAATAGTAAGATAAAATAATAATAAGTAATAGAATAATAATAAGAAAGAGACAAAAGAAAAAAAAAAAACATACTTTTTTCTTTTCTTTTTTCAGCAGGTGTTTGAAACCAAGATCTTTTAGACTCATTCTCATTTTTCCCAGACACAAATTTCTCAGCCCTTTTTACATTTTTTTCGATGGATTTCATTTCTTTATCTTCACGTTCCTCTCTCATCACTCTAGAAAGATCTTCTTCTAATGAAGTCACTTTTTCTTGATATTTGGCAATGACATCTAAAAAGTGACCACAAAAATAGAAGATATATTTAAATGCCTGGAGTCCCATTCTTAATTAACTAAACTCATACACAGGAATACTATTTTTTTCACAAAAACGAAAAAACACTATGTAGAGAGCCAGCATAAACATGAAACTCTAATAATCAAAATGAAGGATGTAATAAAATTCAATTTCAAAAGCAATATGAATTGTTTAAAAATGTGTTAACTTATTTTTTTGATTGGATATATTAATCTAAATATCTAAATTAATATTTGCACTTATTTATTATTACAGTAGGGAGTCGATTATCCGGAACGATTGGGACCATCGCTATTCTGGATAACTGATTTTTCCGGTTTTCTGAATCGCTACAAAAAGCCGTTTTTTTATAATTGTTAAACCCAACTAAAAAAAAATTAATATTTGGAAATAGTCTTAAAAAGAATGATTATTTCCAAAATGATGGCAAGGTAAACATCTTTCAAAAAAGAAAGAATAATAATAAGAATACGAAATCTTACGAGGAAAAATTCTTTATTTTTAAAAAAAGAAAATGGTGGGAAAATTTATCGAGTTTCGTTCCCATTTTCTGATTTCCCGATAACGGGTTCTGTACAGTACATAGTTACTTGGTACATGAAATTACAAAATAAACTTAAACCACAAATTTATATAACCAGAATATAATTTTTATATTGTGCTGAAAATAAATTTTCTTACCAAAACAGTATTAGACATACACGATGGTTGTGGTTGGAAACGGCTACAATCCGATAATCTTGAGGAGCTAGTTCAAAAATTTACGGTTAGAACATAGTTGAAAAATTTTTCATATTCCTTACTCTTAATGTATTTTTTATTTTCATTAAAGATAGCTCAGGGACATGTCAAAAGACTAGGCTGGTTTCAGGTAAAATTTAATTTCTTTAAAATCTATAATAGAATTTTGAATAATCTATAATAGAGTCCTGAATAATAAGCTTTTTTCAATAGAAGGAAAACAGCAAAAAGGAAGAAAAATTGCTAGATGGCTGGACGATATTGAGAGGAATGCAGAACAGATGAGAGTGATTGCATACAAAGATTTAAGCACTGGATAGGGCCAGGTGAACTCCCTTGGACTTTTAACAGCCTGGAAGAAGAATTTTGGATTTGGGGGGAGGGTGAATAGAGAAAAATTACGGTTTTCAAATTATATTATTGGCCGAAAAATGAAAAATTGTCCTAAGATAAAAATTGTAGGCTGCCTTAGATTGAATGTCATGGGTTACTATATGAAAAATTTTATTATTAAATTCTTAATAATAAATCGGGTTTTGAGATACAGCCCATTGTGTCTACTATCTTGTGCTGTTACTTCAAAATAAAACGTTATGCCCAAAACGTTCTGGACATATGCAGAGATCTATATACATCTTATTTTATTATATGTATTGACTATTACATCAAAACTAATATACATATAGGAAAAATTAAAAGGATTCCTAAGTTTTTAAATAAAAAAAAAATTTTCTTCAGTAAGAAAAAATTACAGCAAAACAGACATCTGGGCACATAATTTAAAACATAAGAGCAACACATAATTTTAAAATTTACTCACCAGCCGGAACTAACCGATGCTTAACAGGGTTTTTAGCTTGCTTCACTATTTCTTTCAAAAGTTTGCGTTCTTTCTCGCCAACCATTGAAACTGACCTAAAGGAAATTTTTTTTTGTTCTTTTAATTAGAAATTGTTCTTTTAAATAGAAAAATACAAGTCTGAAAGATAATTAAAAAAAAGAAGAAAAAAAAACATTTGAAAGGAATCAAGATTATATTAATATCATGAAAGATTATACAGCACCTTCCACTCTTTCCAGCTCTTGCAGTTCTTCCTACTCGATGGATATAGTGTTGTAAAGTACATGGCAAGGTAAAATTAATGACCTTAAAAGGAAAAGTTAATCCGTATTAAAACATAAAATAAATGTTCAGGCAATTAATCAATAACAAATGTGTTGCAACACATATCAATCTAAAAATCACTAGTTCTAATTATAAACAAATGTTATTCAGTTAGAGCAAAAACTGTTTATGTATTTGCTTATTCATTCATAATATCTATACTAATGCAAACATGACACAATTTTAAAAAATGTTATCCTAAAGGTCTTGTTTATGTAAAAAAAAACATCACAACAAAATAAACACATAAAAGAGCTGAAGAAAAAGCTTGTATAGTCATAGGGCAGGTCGAGATTTTAGTTAACAAAGATCAGGAGCGTGGAGAAACTCTTTATTACATAATCTTTTTAAAAATATTGCACCGTTAAGTAATTTTTAATTTATTCTCATTTTCCTATTCTTATTGATTGTTTGTACCTATTATGTTTCAACATTTGTTTAAATAACCTCTAAATATAATTTTTATTTAATTTTTTTCTAATCTGAAAACTAAACAATGTCATAATGAAAAACATGGATGCTAAAAAGTCAAATGCTACAATTTTTTTTAAAGAATAAATCATTTACCTAAGAAGTTTTTACTCATTCCAGCACTTAAATATTTAAGCTTAAACTGAAAAAACAAACTGTGAGATACATTCATAAGTCAAAACTCAGTCATTTATCTGCAACATTTGTTGTCCTTTTTTGAGGAAAAGTCTTTTTTTCTTTTTCTTTTTTCTGACCACAATTGGGGCATAAGGAAGTCAAAGGTCACAGCATAATCACTTGCAAGTTCTTAAAACTAACACATCCATACCACCTGCTTGATGCCATATCCCTAGGCAACTAAACCTGCATGCCTGTATCTAACTACATAAATATTTTTTAAGTTGTAATTATTAAAGCCTCATATAATTAATTATGAAAGTTTAAACTGTAGACAATTATTAAAACAAAAATAATAATAATAAATAAAGCACTACCTTAAATGCTTATTGCACAAAAAATATAAAGTTTATATAACCACATTATTAAAATATAATAAATTATTAAAATGCAATAAAGAATTAACTTAAAAATATTAAACCCCAATTAAAAAAAAAAAAACTTACAGTTTTCACTCCTGGAATATCTAAACCTCTAGAAGCTACATCAGTGGCCACTAAAACATCAACTTCTTCCTCTTTAAATTTTCTAAGAGATTCTAACCTTTCTGGTTGATTAAGATTTCCATGCAGTTCTGCAGCTTTAATACCCATCAACGAAAGCAGTATATACAATCGGTGCACTTGCTTTTTTGTTTGTACAAAAACCATCACATGATCTTGAAATGTTCGAGAAAGCAAAGCTATAAAGGTTTAAAAGTAAAAAAATATTAAATACATTTTTTTTGAAGATATCACACTCAAGATTAAGTTTTATTGTTTCAAAATACTGTATTCGCTCTTTAAAAACACCAAAATATATTGCAAATGCTTTTTGTTATACAGTAGAGAACCATTTATCCGGTATCCAGATAACCGGGAAACCAGAAATCCGGGAAGAATTTTGCTTGGCTTTCCCTCTATTTTAAAGTACTATAAGGATTATAAAAAAAAGGAAAAATAGCGGAAATTTGACTCATCCTTAAAGTTGAGTAGAGGGAAAGGGGGGAATTCTTCTCCTCACTTGCCCAGAGGAACTTCAATTCTTCCCCTGACCTTGAAGATCATTAGATCCAGAGGGGGCAGGGAAGGGACAAACGTTTTATTTTCTCCTGTGTTTATTTTCTTTTTCTGATAAGCTGCCATCAATCAAACTTAAAGGAGTGGCAAGCTGATTTCCTTTTCTCTTTGATTTGCAAGGGGGTGGGGAAAATGCATTGCACAGGTATTGCAATGAATGTTTGAGTTAAGGAACTTGAAACATCTGGCTAAGAGTAATTGATTTTAAAGGTGAAATGTGAGATTTATTTTAAATCATCCACTTCAGTTACACAGTTTTGTTATTTATTATGGTGAATTGTTTTATTATTTCGGATAATGCATTATTTAATCACTAGTTATATTCATCTATTTGACATCAATTAACAAAACAATATTTTTTTGTTGAATAAATTCTGATTTCTTAGAAATGCGATATCATTAGAAAGTTTTTCTTGAAAGGTGCAATCACATCTGCTTTTATTAAAAATAGTCTTTTAATAAAAAAATAAAATAAAAGGAGAAGATTGTTTATTAATTTAAGCATATAATTATTTGTTAATAAAAGCAGGCCTGTGGCCTTTTTATTCAAAAATTTTATCATTAAGTTTTTTTTCTTTTTAATTCCGTTTATTTTATAATATTCTGTCTCTTCGAGGTTTTAATACTTATGTTAGTGCCTTTTTTAAATATCGTTTGTTTCCGTTCCATAATTTTCAAGTGTTGTTTTTATTTAGATTAATAAGTTTTCTTTTCATCCCCCCCAGTATAATTAGGTATGAAATTGCGAATTGCGATTTTTAATTATTCGTTTTGTTTTATATTAGTTAATTTGGGGATTTTAATTATCATCAAAAAATAAATATGCAAATTTTGTATTTTTTAAACTTGTTTTTCTTGTCTAAATTTGCAACTGTTTTTATCCTTTTAAATGTTATTTTTCTACCATTTTTTTTTTTTTTAATTTAGGAGATATTTTTGTTTTTTCCCTATTTTTAAATATGTTAAACTTTTTCCTTGTAATTTGGGTTTGATAAAACATCGATTAACGGCACTTTTGGCTGATCCAGAAAACCGGGAAATTCAGACATCCGGGATAGCGATGGTCCCGAGCATCCCGGTTAATTGGTTCTCTACTGTATTTGATAACATCCCTTGGTTTATAAAAATTGATAAAAATTCTTGAAATTATTTGCCTTTTACCACATTTCTTATTGAAATAGCTATCAACACATCTGCAGAGTATTACTACAGGAAATTAACTTGTTAAACAAGAGAAAAAATCCTAACCGAACACTATCATTGGATGGTGGGAAGCAGAACAGCCTAAAGTGTAAATACATAGCTTTTTGACTTTGAATTGGAAAAAAATTTACAAAAAAGAAAGTGTGTGGTAAATGCTATTCCATATATGATATTTATGTAGAGATTAAAATAAAATAGAAAATTTTCCGACATAAAATTTATTACCTTATAAAATCTAATCTAATATATATGCAAAAAAAAGTGTCAGTTATGATCAGGCCCAGAGTGGGAAATTTCCACTCACCAGCTTACCATTTGTGATCATATATTTAGTGCCAGGGTGTAATTTCAACTGTTTAAAACGTTGAGTTTTAAATGAAACTATTTACACTTAGACAATAGCGCCTTTACAAGCCTCATGTGGAAGTGTTTTCATAGCAAGCAACAGCATTTTTCTTTAATTTAGAACAAAAAAATTGTGGTCACCCGCTTCTCACATCTAAAACCATAACTTGTTACCACTATTATTTTAAGACCATTCTGTGACCATTATATATTTTCTATTTTGATTAAATATTAAGTTAGTTATTTTATGATATCAGTTACTACTATAAAAATCTTCTTTATACACCAGTTAAAAATTTTTTTCAAGTGTTAAATAATGGTGAATAAAAATTTTATCCCTGTTGGTTTTGTCAAAACTGAAGTTTCATGACACGCACTCACATCAAATCATTGATTTTATAATTGAAAATATGATTGAAAATTCAAATTATTTACCAGCTAGAACAGCTTCCCTTTCGGATTCTCTGTTTGGCCTGATACGAATAAATTCTTGATAAAGATTTATGGCAACTTCAGTGTTACTGTTGATAAATATTTTCACAGGTTTCTTTAAAGCAGATGCAGCTAAATCTTTAACCTTGACAAAGATAAAACATTCAATTAACATTATGTTCTTAAAAACATGAGAATAAATCGCTTCAATTATCTTAAAACTTATACCTCATCATTTAGAGTGGCAGAAAACAGCATTGTTTGTCTGCTATAAGAACATTGTTTTATGATTTCCTTCATTTGTTCAGCAAAATATTCATCTAGAATCCTAAAATAATAAAATTTCTGTAGATGTGCAAGTAATAGTAATTTTTATGATATATGCTTATTACAAATAAAATTAATAGAAGAATTTTTAAATATCTATGTTTAAAAAAAATCATTCATAATTGATGGTATTTTCAAGATGGTTACAAACACTTTATATTACTGACAATTTCAATTTTAATAAATACATAAAATCTATTGGAGTTTGTTTCATGAAGCAATTGTGTATTAAAATGTAAAAACAAATGTTTCTGCCTTGGTGCATTCTTAACAACATGTACACAATAACCTTTTTTGATTATACTTTTTCATTCATAAAATTTTATTCCAGCTTATTCAAATTAAGCTGTACTCCATCTAATGCATGCTGATGAAACTCACCTCTGAGAACGTAAAAATTGCTATCTCTGTGATCAAAGCAGATAGAGTATTCCTTTCCCAATACACAATCATTTTGCTAACTATCAGCTTTTATAAAATAACAGGGGTGATTGTGAGTCAAAATTCCGGAAAATTTCTTGAGTTAAAACAAAAAGTTTAAATTGAAAAATTAGAAAAAATTTAAACAAGGTTTTTTTTTTCCTTTTCTCAATATTTCTTAGTTAACTTAAAATAACTTTTAAAATTTTACACATATCTATACCATTTACACATACCTATGATGACCTAGAGAAGAAATTAAAATTTACAAATATGCTTTTGTTTCTTGAGTTTATGATTATAACAACTATTTACGGATAAAAAATGAATATTAATCATGATTATAAGCTTATAAAGTATATCTCTGGCTCTCCCTTACAAACTGTGCTCTGCTCTCCCTTACAAACCATTAAAAATAAACTGTGTTTTTAAGTTCCACCTTTGAAAATTTGATTTCCGGAAACTTCTGTGATCAATGATTTTTTGAAATGCCTGGACCTTCAATCTCCGGATCACTGATAGCGAAAAGTCCGGAAATCCGGAGCCCTGAAATAATAACTGTTATCTAGGATGCCTTGCAAAATAGTTTAAGTATGCAAGACATACAAATTAAGAACTTTAGAGCGATTAAGAGTTGGATGTCAAATAATGATGGCAAGAAAAATTTTACCTATCTGCTTCATCCAATATTAAAATTTCAATATTATGAAGACTAAATGTGGGAGTGTTTTCAAGATGATCTAACAGTCGACCAGGAGTAGCAATTATTATGTCGGGCAGTCGTCTTAGAGCTACTTCTTGAGTTTTCAATTCTAGGCCACCTATAGAAAAGTATTTACAAAATTTACAAAGCGGTTTAAATGGAAAACAAATACATCAGATAGTTGGAGATTTTTTTTGGAGACATTTCAAATCTACAATATGGCTGTTTCAGGTTAGCTATTAAATATTTGTATAAGCAAATATTTGTGTTTCTTTAAGTGAATGGTAGATAACTTCACTTACCGGCAGACAACACAATCTCTATTTTAGTGAATTGTGCCAATTGCCTTGAAACTTGATAAACTTGAACTGCAAGTTCTCTTGTAGGCAATACTACCAAAACTCTAGTCACTGGTTTGTCTTTAGGTTTGAATAATAACCTCTCTAAAACAGGAAGCATAAAAGCAGCAGTTTTTCCTGTCAAGTAGAAATGCAATATGATCAAAATCTTAATGAAAACAAAGGATACAACAGATTATGCTTTACAATAACAAAATAAGGAATAATATTTTTTCTCTTTTTTTCAACATAAAAATTGAACATTTAAACGTTTTTTATATCACATTTCTTTCATATTGTTAACAATTATACTCAAAACTTTGCAATTATAAAAAAAAAAAAAAAGGAAAATTGAATTTTGTTATTATGTAATTATTTACTAAAAAACAGTATGATAATAGTACAGAATACAATTCCCAATATTGTTGAATTCCATAAGGATTGAAAAGATTGAAATTTTTTGGAATTTTTTTTAAAGCAATTTTTTTAAGTACCCATTTTATAAAAACATAATTTTTCCATAAATTGAATTAATGAATGGATATGAAACAATGAATGTTTTTTAAAGTTATTATTGACTTGATGTATAATTGTTGCGTCATGTATAATTGATTTCACTACTATAGAATAATAATTAAATATAAATATAATCACCTAGCTAAATAATTATTTATATTATTACAAAAAACAATAATTTAATAATTAATTTATTTGTAGAAGGAAGGAAAACCAATGATATGTTTAATGCCTTTCTGCATAAATATAAATTATGTAAATCATACACAAAAAACTGTAATGTATTAATTAGTAATATCAAATCACTGACAAAAACAAAAAAAATCCACTTTATTACACGAATACAGATAAACCCAGAAGATATTGTATAAACTTAATTAAGACTTCTATTAAATAAATTATTTGTTAATTTGAAAAGATTCAATACTTTTGTTCTATCATCTTAAAATCATGACCATAAAAACATGACAAATAATTTTAATAACTTAATTTTTATCATTGATATAAGAAAACAGATTATTAATAAAAATTAGCATCATAATTTATACTAAATGTTTACCTGTTCCAGTTGCTGCACAACCATAAATATCTCTTCCCATCAAAGCCACTGGTATTGTCGCAGCTTGGATTGGAGTGGGATGTAAAAAATTCATTGAAGTAATAGCCTAAAAGAAAAAAAAATTCTTTTTATTTTTTGGTCCCATGAGTCAGCAATCAATCATAGTTGTATTTTACGTGTTTAACATGAAATTTTCAAGCTGATTATCACTTAACATGAAAGGAAATAGGACACACAGATAATAAGCATGTGAATAAAATCCAAATTATTCCTTCTGAGGAATGCTATTTCTATTTTCCTCCTTTGCCAAAAGTAGATGATGAGCAAGTAAATAAAATAGTAAAAAAAAATTAGTTTAATTAAGTAGTTTAAACTTTTAAGCTTATTACAATTTGTTTGGTTCACAATGGTATTATTTGCATATATTAATGTAGTACATAATATGTGTTAATAATATGTAATAAATTGCTTCCATGATGTATCGGACAAAACAAAATTAGGCTAACATGAAATAATTATGATAGTTCCACTGATTTCTCATTAACGAGGTTCTACTGTATTACCTTTAACACATGATCACTACCATTATCAAGTTACAGGATAAGGAGGAAACATAATATGAAAAAATATTGATATACTTAAAAATACGTAACGTTTCATAATAGCATAATCAATTGAAATTTAATATTGTTTCAGAAAGTTTTAGTAATAATTTTAAATCAGTAATTAATTTAACAAAGTCCTCTCCTTCCATCTCTAACGAAAAGTCACTAGATTATGAAGAGATAAAAAAGAATTATAATTTTGTTTACACACCTATTAAATGAATTTATTTTACTTCTCAGTTACTAATTTTCAGTAAGGAGCTTCAATTTTCGAATGTAAATAGAAAATAGGAGTAAAACAACTTTGGTCAGCATCAAAAATCATAAAATCATTTTTTAAAAAATTGTATCATTAATTGGTGTTTTCAAAACATTGTTACTTAAAATAGGGGTGCAAAACCTGCGGGCCAAATGCGGCCCTTTGACTACTGAAGTGCTGCCCGCAAGAGCTTCTAAACACAATGAAATTTTTTAAAAAATGGCATTTTTTAATCGCACTTTTAAGTCATCACGTTTTGACACAATCAATTTTAACAGATTTTTTAGTAAATGTACGTATGCGGTTTCTTTAAGCCGATTTTATTGTAAATATAAATGATTTTTTTAAAACAGTTATTTCTGCTTTTCAACGTTATTTTGAAAATGCAATGCAAATTTCAGATCGCCCATTTAAATAATCACTTTTTCTTGAACTTTATTCGTGACGATTTCATCTTAAATCTAAGTAATTTTTTATCTTTTTTTTGCAATTCTTTCTTTTTTTGACAATTTTTTCCAGCAGTTATTGCTATGCGTTCCCACGTATTATAAAAAATTCCAATTATTCTATTACGACATGCAAATTTTAAATCGTGCATTTGACACGCTTTATTCGTGCTGAGTTGAGCATAAATATAAGTCAATTATCCTCCCAAATATTTCTATACTTTTCCACATGATTTTTACGATCCCTTTATTTAACTATGATGTTATTACGTCACGTGATAGTTAATCGCGCAGTTATCACTTTTTGTTACGGCATTTCGGTGCAGTTTTATCGTAAATCCTAGTTATTTTCCCTTCGTCCCCCCCCCCCCGCAATGAATTTTGATTTGGTCGAATGTGGTAATGAATTGTGATTTGGTCAAAAACCAAATATTCGGCAAAAAAAAGAAGGAAAAAAAAAAACATCGACTGAACGCCGTACACTTGGGGACAAATAGTAAAATCTTTTAGCAGCATAGCAACTCTGAAACTAAAATTTCAATGCTCAGAATAATATTTCCTGGAAAAACGTATTCGTAAATTAACTCTAAAAAACAAGGCCAATCAAGAATGTTTTTGAAAATGTCGAAAAGCGAAACAGAGAACATAAAAATCAATCTAAATTTTTGAAAGAAAATTTTAAAGCTGAACATCTCAGTTTTCAAATTACCAGAAAAAGCCAAGAAAAAAGAATTAAGTCAACAGAAATGCTATTAAAAATTACTGCGTTATAATAATAACGTCTAAAAAAAGTTTTTTTTTATTTAAAGAAAATAAAAAGTTAAAAAAAAACGTTCTTAATTCTTTTTTGATAAAAAAATAGAAAGCTAATGTTTAAATAAACATTACAACATTTGTCAATAACATGTCTAAATACATGTGCGGCCCTTCGTTAGCCAATCAGCTGTGCAAGAGGCCCTTCACTCAAAAAAGTTTTGCACCCCTAACTTAAAATATAACATACACTATATTCAGAACTGATTTTTTTCTGGTAATAAATATTGTTAACATTATAAATTTAAAAAAAAAACTAATTTAAAATGTACTGAGCTAAATCAAATTGATTTCAAAGGTAATGAAACAAACAAAGTACTTTGAACAAAAAGCAAAAGTTTTTACAAAGCAAGACTATTTTAAACACAAACTTTTCAAGTTAGTAAGAACTAATACCTTCTGTAATGGCCTAGACAAATTCATTTGCTGAAAAGTCATACCCTTATCATACTTGATTTCTTCCCCTAGGATTTCACTGTCTATCTATAATGAAAATAAACAGGATAAAATAAGAAAAAAGCACCAAGGAGTTATACAAATTGAACCAAACATACATGAAATGTAAAGTGAGATAAGACATGTAAATGATTAGAAATACACGCATACATATTTTAACAAAATGCAAATTAATTATCAAAGACTTTTACATGATCATGATAAAATAATTAGTTTCTGAAAAAGAACTCTTTTCTTGATCATATTAGCCACCATAAAAACAATTTATGCACAATTTTAAATGTATTCAATATTGAGTTATTCTATTTTTTAAATTACATTACTTAATTATGTAAAAAAAAAAATTGAAATTATAATTAATTTAACTACTACTTATAAAGGTTATACAGGGTATTTTTTATATTTAAATAAAAGCTATTTATAAAAGCATAATCAACAAAACCTTAAAAAGATAAATATTATTGATTATACTGAATTTTTTAATTGTAAATACAAGTACTGAAGCTAACATTTTTGTCAGAAGTAAATTATTATATGGTCTCTACACTCATAACATTTAACAAATTTGAGATAATTGAATTTTTTTATTTCAATCGTTTTTAAATCTAATCATCAAAAGAAGAATTAAAGTTATTTGGATTGTCAAATCTAAATAACAAATTTTTTGCTGCATTTAAAATAATGAAAACAACTATTAAGCAAGGTAATTTTTCAATCAAATCATTCTAGAACAACAAAAATAGTTCAAAAATAAATAAATAAATAAATAAAAAAAAAAACTCACATCGATAACCTTGTCAGATTCAAACATACTCTTCCTTTTCTTTTTCTTCTTCTTGACTTTAACAATATCTAAATTAACAATTAAAATATTGGATTAAAGAGACAGTAAACAAAAATAATTTAAAAATCTCATTCATGTTCATTTCAAAGATGGGAATACTTAAAACTAGATCTTATGCATTGATTTATTGCACTGATTGAAAATATTGCTTTTATGACATACATGTGGTCCCATGACTGTCAGACATTTGAAATTCTACAGAAATGCATTTATTACCAATAGTAAGTACATTGTTTCAATTTTCTTAAAAATATCATTCGCAGAATTTTTTTTAAAAATTTTTAATATTTATGAACATATTGCTCAACAGAAAGAAATGCATTGCTTTTAAAATCTTAACAAATATTCAATTCATCAAAGTAAAAAACATGTAGTAATTTTATATATATTTATTTTAAATATATATAAACATAAACCAGTATTATATCAGTCAGGATGGCCAGAAAAAAACCTCTGACTCTGAATTTTCCTGATTTTTAAAACTGGAAGCATAAATGTTAAAAGGTTCACTTGGGCCTTATTTTTATATGCGATTAAAGTTGAAAATAAAAAATTAGTTTTTATAATTTCTTTAGGATTGTGATACTCTCTCATCGGGACATAATTCAAACAGAAATATTTATAAAATTTAAATTAATTATAAGTACTACTACCTTATTACTATGTATACACACTCTTTAAGTTTACTTGTGGACTGTGTGGGGTGAGAAAGTGATTTTATTTCCATCTGCAATTCCTGAAGAGGTTAAATTCTTACAAGATCACTTTTTTAGGAAAGGATATTGGACTTTTAGGTCCCTGATTCTTTGATTAAAATCGATTATATTTCCTTGACTTTTGCAAATTAATAAAATTCCTTGATTTTTTCTTGTTCCGAGACTACCCTGCCTGTGTAATTAAATACATTCTTAGCGAATAAAAATGAATCATATTCCTTAAATTAAGGACACTTAATCAATGGAATGAAATTTAAAGCTTTGTTTTAATAAGTAGAGAACTTTTTTTAAAACTGCATGCTTCAGGAAAAGGAGGAGTTAAAATGGGAGTAAATTAAAATTGTTTTTATATGTAATGTTTGTTGAGTGTTTTTATATTAAGCTGATCGTTTTTGTATTTTTATTTCCAATATTTTAAAAAAATTAACAGATTAGATAAATTTCAATTTTACACATTTTTATTCATAATTATTTAATATTTTCTACACAAAAATTTCAGTTTCAGACAGTAATGGTCAAAACAACGTATTTAATATTAAAATAACTCAAGATTATAATCGATTGACCACTTGTAATATGCATATTTTTATTTATAAATACTTCTCATTTATAACATCTAATCTATTCACTAAAACTTAGGGTTTTTGACAAGATGGATTAAACCACAGTTAAAACTGGAAATAACCGATAATTGTCAAAACCTTGGCAACCGTTCCCAAGCTTCTTCTACTACTTATTAACCTGGCTCCCTGCTCAATTCTTTTAATTTCCTTACCTCAATTTTTTACAAATAACCTATTGAAAATCGAAAAGAGAGATTTTACAGCTTTTCTTTTCATATTCTTATATTATCAGTTTGAGACAAGTACCTTTTTTCTTTCACAAGTAGAGAATAAGGGTAATTCTATAAATCAAGAACAGTTAATTAAGAATCAGGATGTTAAACAGCAATGTACTATATAACAAACATAATGTTGAATAATATAAGCCTTGGAAGAAAAATTCCAAAAGTGGGTCTTTTTAAAAATTTTTTTAATAAAGGCAGGCACTGAACCTTTGTACTTTGCTTTAGAAGATGCCGGAAGTGTTGCTCTTGTATCGTTACCCAGTGGGCACCTGTGAACCAAACTCACGAAGGCGAGCAACATTACCCATGCCAGACAGCCACAAATACCCGATCATAGGGTGGGCCACATTCACACATCAGAAGACAACACAGGGAGAAAAACATCCATGCCAAGAGCGGGATCTGACCCCACAGCCATTGGCTTCGCAGTCAGACACGCTAACCACTCGGCCACCTAAACTTGTTAATGTGTGCTCACACTATTGACATGTAAATCATCTGGCATTTTATTATACATACTAGATTTCAACAACATTAAAATATATATATATANGATTTTTCGCAGTATATATATATATATATATATAAAACAAAATGAGAGTTTAATATTAACCTGAGGGTTCTTCATTTTCATCAGAAGATATAGCTAAATCTTCAGTAGCTTCCACATCATCTTCATCCAGTTCTTCAGCATTAACCTCATTTACCTCTGCTGATTTTTCAACAATATTTTCCTCTGTCTCTTCTTCTTCTTTTTGAAACTATGATATAAGGAAAAGAAAAATATATTTAGCTGAAGAAAAAAAAACTATTTCAAAGGAACAATATCCAGATCAATGCATGTAATATACATGAAATTTAATCCTTACTCGCTTTTGCCTCTTTTCAGCTCTAATTAAAGCAATTTTCTCTTCTAGAGTGCTCGGTTTCCTCCTGGTATACTTATGAATGTCATTCCATTTACTGTTTAGAGCATTATCGTCCTCATCAAATGTGAAATTGGATGAAAATGTAGATTTTTCTTCTTCCTTAAAAAACAGAAAAGACAAAATTAAAAAAAAATTTAAATAAATGCAAAAATTATAAAATAATAATTAATAACAATCTTTTAATGGTCTTCAAAAAATTTATTTATTAATTTTGAAGAAAGTGAAAATAAAATGATAAAAAACTAGTAAATAAAAAAAAAAAAAAAAAGGTTAGGGGTGATTGTGACATGAACAGAAAAACTCTGAAAATTTTACGCGCAAGATATCTCTTATCTACCATACTTGTTTCATATTCAACACAATTTTTCTAAATAGGACTAATATAATGATATTTGATTTTTAAAAGCACGTGATTAAGAATTGTAATGCTTAGCTTGTAAACGCATAATTAACCCAAATATAAATTTACATAAATATATAATTATCTATTATGTAAATTTATGTTTGACATTGCAAAAGCGGGAATACAAATCGCAACATTGGATTATAAAAATGCATGAAAACGAATTCTGCCATTGGATTTAAAACTCGTGGGAATACGAGATGCAAAATTGTTTTTAAAGGCCATATCACACATAGCGAAAATTCATTCAATTCAACCTTCAACTCAATTTCAACTCTGAAGACAACCCCGTCCGAAAACATAGGCGTGCCATACTTATCCGAGTTGGATCAACTGCTGTTCAACTCTTTCACATCTCTTCAAAAGTGTTGAAGCAACTTCACAATTCAACCAATCAGGTGGCAGCAACCACATGGGGCTATGGGATAGCACAAGTCAAAACAATATGGCGGCAAAGTTTATGTAACGAAGCAGCGTATCTAATTTGTTATATACTAATTCAGGTGAGTGTTTAATTGAGTATTGATTTTAAAGTTATTTTATAAGAAGTATAAATCTGTTTCTATCCATCAAAGAAGTTTATGTTATAAATGTGTTATGTTTTTAATCGAGAATTAAAAGTATGATTTTCTACGCCTAATTCGCCAATCTGAAATAAATTTTGCAAGTACATAAAAGTAGTTTTGTTTTATATTTTGACATTGCTTTAAATGATAAACAAATTTTATGAATTGCATTTAATCTTTTTCGTACGTAACTGTATATTTGTTAGTATTCGCCGAATTAAAATATAGTTTTTTTTCCAATTACTTTGCTCTTTCTATAGTTCCGATAAGATTACACCAGCAATTATTCTAGAATTGGTACTGAATTCAGCGATTTTGAATATTTTTTTATAAAGGAAAAAATTGCATTAGAAAAAGAAACTTTTCTGAAAACTTACTCATACCTAAACAATATGCTGACAGAATTAATTTCTTTGTATTATTTTACTTTTAAACTGTATATTTGTCAGTATTCGCGGAGTAAAAATTTGTTTTTTTTCCCCAATTACTTTGCACTTTCTATCAGGGTTCAACAAGTGGGCCCACCTTGAAAAAAACCCACTTGGGATGCTAAGTGGGTTTTATTAATAAAAATTTTTTTTTTTATTAAAACTTATTGATTCACGTTTAATTTTATGTAATTTATATTGTAGCGTAAGTTTGTCAAATAGATTTGCATGCTTTATATGATAAAGTTTTTAATATTTATAAAGTTAAAGAAACTTGAATCTGTAATTTTATATTGCTATTAAAAACTTTAAGCGGGTTTTTTCAAAAAGTAATATTTAATGAAATTAAATTAGATGGAAATTTAAATAGCATAGTCTGCAAGGATCTATTTTTCAAATGCAGTTGCATGCTTTATATAATTAATAAGCTGGTTTTGAATAAATTATGAAGGAAGTTGAAAATATTTTTTTACCCGTTAAAGCACCTAAAAGGTTTTTTCAAGGTAATATTTTTAATAAAAAAATATTAACACACGCTTAACTTTAAATATACAAATATGTAGGTACTTTTTATATCTGCTTTTTTCATAATTTAATAGATTAATTTATTTTTTGAAATTAAAGATAAAGTTAAAATTATTTATCTAAAAAAGAAGTCTTCTTCTTAAGGTTAAATATTTGAAAAAATGGGACAAGTAACTGATACTCCTTGTAATTATACATAATTTTAATTTCACTTTCTATTAATCTTATTATAAAAACATGGAAAACCATTAAAAATTTATTTCAGTTTTTACTGATAATAAAAAACTTACTCATACCATAACAATATGCTGACAGAATTAATTGGTTGGTAATTTTTAATGACTGTTCCTTATTGTCTGTTGCCTTAAATACATTTGCTTCACCTTTCTTAATAAATTTTTTTACTTGTATTGCAGCAAAGATGAGTCAAAATTTTGAACAAGCTCCCGTTGGAGAAACTTTTAAATGGAGCATCGAAATGGAGAGCACATTTATTGAACTCTTGAAGAAAAAAGAGAACATTTGGAATGTAACATCCCGCCACCACAGGAAATATCATTTAAGAGCTCATAAAAAATTAATCGAAACTGCTTTTGGAATAAATTGTTCACTTTTATCAGTTCTTGTTTTTCCTAATTTTTAAATAGTTTGTGTTTATTCATGTTGAATCTTTAACAAAATAGTGCCGTTTAATAGCTTTCTTTTTTTTAAAATTCAGTTTCACATAAACTTTTAATTTTCTACAAATAGCACAATTTTTTTCAAATTAGAGTATTTCACTAAATATATATAATAATACTTATCGAACTCTTAAAAAACTATTTTAATAATTTTTCAAGAACTTAAAGTCAACATTAAAAAAATTAATTGCATTAATTTGGTGCAAAAAATTATCAAACTCCTAAATTTTGTTATAACTGTTTATTTTTACTCTTATATTAGATTTTGTTTTCTCCGTTGTAAAATATACATAGTAAATGTAAGTTGCAAAAAGCTATATTATGTTATTAAATATATGAAAAACTTAAAAGATAATTTATTTGAATAATTTAAAATAAGTACTATATGACTAAAGGTAAAGAATAATATAAAAATATATTATGCATAAAGCGCTAAATCGCCTAAAAAGAAAGAAATCACTCGTTTATCAAAGATCAACTCTTTTCAACCGTATGGCAACCATAGTTCAACTGTTTCAGATGGTTGTTGAACAGAAAGTCGAAGTTGGGGTTGAGTTGATGGTTGAATTGAACAAATTTTCGCTATGTGTGATATGGCCTTAAAAATGCGTAAATACAATTCGCGATATTGAACATTTGAATCATGTGGATACAAATCGGGACGTATGATCACATGAGCAGGATGCAGGCAAACGTATAGCAGGATGTAACTTTTAAATTAGGTAAATACTGATCACATCGAAGAGATATTAAAGACAGCAAAAATAAGTAAAACCACTAAAATGTAAATGTCTCAATAACGGGATATAGCAAAAATCATAGAAATTAAATTTTAGATTGCGGAGTTAAATGAAAATTTCGTCGTATTATGTTTTTAATAAATGAAAGTCTGGGAACTAATAGTTCTCAGAAAAGTCATTTGCCGGGTTCGTAAATTTTAGACGTAATTTATACCGGAATAACAGGATATACAACCACCACTGCAAATGTAAGAGAAACACTCTATGTTTGAATGCAAATAGTATTTCTTAGATGTGTTAAATCTTCATGCTATTAATTTCGCTTTAACATTTCATAATTGCTTTTTCTTGTTGCAGGTGCTTAATCAGTGCTCACTTTAAACGTTAATTGTTCCAAGTAAACTGTTCTTTTCTTTTGACGATCATTAGAATAATTATAATATATTAATGGCTGATTGAAGGAAGAGAATATCTTTTTCAATAAAAGGACCACAAAATTCGTAAATTTACGGCTCTTAAAATTTAGCAATATTTGCCAGTCCCTTGGAATGTCAATCATAAAACTTATTTATTATTATTTAAAAGTGATAGAGTATTAGTAAAACTGAATCATTATAAGTAGATTAAATTTTGTTTCAAATTGGTACTTTATGATTAAGTAGTTTAAATGAAAATATATTTCTAATCGAACTAAAGATAGCTGATTGTAACATAAATGCTCTATAAAAAGTTAATTGATTTTCTTGTCTCCATACCAGGAATTATACTTCCCAAACACAAGGAAATCTCTAAAAACACATTGGTAATAATAAAATATACTAACTTCACTATCACTGCTCGAATCATCAATTTCATCATCGTCTTCCAAAGTTCTGACAACTCCAAATTCATTAATGAGTGTCGGTTCCATTTATTGAATATGGTTAATCTTTCATAAGCCTAGAATTTTTTTTAGAGTAATATACAAATCTTCTTTTTCTCACGTCTCGCGTGTTTCTAATTTCAAAGCAAGATTTCTAATTTCAAAACAAACAAGCCAACAGAATACAGATACAGTTACTTATAAATTTGTGCAATGCACATTAAAAAGAAAGTTACATTTTTACTAAAAAATAACTGCGCATCTACAATATATTTAAGGTAATCATAACAACTACTATTTAATAATTATTGCAATTAATAATGGTAATTTTTAATAGATCAGTTTCATATATATCATTTATACAACTAATATTTCACCTAGGGTTAAGATATCATTCATTTGATTATACTTATTTAAGTTTTTATTTTATTTTTGGAGATGCAACTGCGTTCGCTTTTTCTATTGGCTATTGTTACATGATCACCGGATCTTTAAATGCAGGGATTGGATGAAATTGTAAAGTCATACTTACAGTTTTGGTAAGTACTGCCATCTCTTGAATTAAATTATAACTAAATTTTTGTGAAAGTATTTAGTTGGCGATACTTTGCAGACGCCAAATACTTGCTCATTGGTATTGTAACCCCATGAAGCTTCTTTTCTTCAATTCAAACTATCAAACAGGTTCAAAGGCCAACGAGTTTGTTTGGCACGTTGATAGCGGGCAGGGTTGGATTTGTTGTCTGAACTTTAATAAAGCAAATTATGAAAATTTTAACAATGTTTTAGGAATATTATAAATGAATATTTCTTGAAGTAAGTTTTTGTTTACCTTTTTTCATGTTATATTCTTTGGTTCTTTTTAATATTTGAATTCTGGTTCTCCGTGTTTCTGATATTCAATGGTGGTTGTAAACGGGCATTACTCTCTCTAATTTAAATGTAATAACATTTAAAGTCTCAGAATTGTCATATGTTAACTTCATTGTCACTGCTTCTAGCAATAAGTGTGACTGTTTGCATTCCGTTGCAACTTAAAAGACCGGCTAATGATTCATATCCTTAATTTTGTAAGATCTTGAATAGGAGGGAATATTTATTTCTCAGATTTTGACGAATAAATTGTTATTATTTGTACGACCTCTTATCTAGTGAAACCCTTATTGCATGAATTTTTAATGAGTATTTTCTTTGTTGTTTATTATTTTTGTGTTGTATTGATAATGTTTTCATTGTTACTTATCAAGGGATTTACTTCTTATAATGTGAAATATAAACTTTCGCCTTTGTCATTAGTGCCCCGTTTTCGATCTAATATTAAACTAGTTGAGCACCCCTTTCTCTTATGGAGTTGGGGTCGATTAAAAAAGAAAAAATTAAGCACTAACAAGACACTATGAGATCATGGACAAAATTGAATACCTTAACAATTAATAAAACTAAAATAATTCCAATTATTTATTGTCCTTCCCGGTGACTTTATTAAATTAGGCAAACAATGTTTTTTATAGTTCATCCCATCACAATAAAGATTAACTGCATTATGTATCACTTGTCATGATGCTAGTGCTGACAACTCATGATAGTTAAAATTTACAAGTAATTTCTATTTGGTTTTATCCCTTTCAAGGGACCTTAAGGCAGCTATTTCTACTGTATATATTTATTAAATCTGATGCTTATCTAACATTCATTAAGCATTATTGGTGTCAATAATAAAATGGTGATTTTTTTTACTGCTCTTCTGAACAAATAAGTAACTTTACTCCAATAATTTTGCTTCTTAATACTTAGATTATATTTTTATTGCAATGTGTACATAAATTAGTTAAACATAGGTGACAGTAGCAGGTCATTTTTTTCTGTTTCTCCAGAACTAGTTAGTAACACTTCATCAATTTTTCCCTACAACACGTAACTATATTTTCCCATTTCGATTGCCATTGGTTCTGTAGAGAAATTTGTCTAAGAAATGTTTTTGCAAACAAATAAATATGTGGTTTTAAATAATTTTAGAAATACCAATTTTGAGACTTAGTTCTCTTATGCTGCCGTGTTAATGTTAATCAATCAATTTATCTGATAAAGAGAGTAAAGAATAGAAGAAAGAAGTGGTCTGTCTTGGCCAAATTTTTAACTGTTTAACTGTACCTTCACAAATTCAATTTTAGAAAAACGGTAGTTTCGCAAAATAATTTTTCTTAAAATTTTATTTTTGTATCCCGTAAGGAACAATAAATCCCCAATTTTTTCTTGATTTTTTAATTTTCACAAATTATGCCTACATTTTCACAAAATAGTTACCTCTCAGAAAAATCTAGACAGACCCCTGTAAATATAAAAGTAAAAAAATATTTTTTTTTTTTTTAAAGATTAAATAGTTACATGCTTGCAAACATCATTGATATCTATAAATTTTTTTAAAAAAAAAATTGAATGTTTTATAGTCTATAACATTGGCTAACACTTAAACAAAGAGAACTTTACTCTTTTCGGAAAGCTTTCCTGGATAATCTAATCTAATTTTAAGATCAAGAAAAAAAAATTCTGCAGCGACTTTCCAATTTTCAGGCTGATAGAACAAAAGGTTCTGGAGTTATGTGGGAAACAAATATATAAATTCTTAATTTATAGATAATTTGACTTTTGTGGCTAGCGTGTAACTGAAAAGTAGGCTAAAGTATTAGCAATCAAATGATAAATCATTATTTAGTAGATTTGAATTTTATATTCTTTCTACCCAATTCTTTATTAGATTTTGATTAATCAAGTGATTTTGATTGTTGTTAGCTTAATTTAAAATTATTTGTAATTCATATATTATCAATCATTCTAAGATCCCTGAAAGTGTTCCAAATGGATTGATATTCCAAGTGATTGATACTTTACAATGTCACTTTCTTCTATTATAGGTTACAACTAAAGAAATCAATAATACATAATTAGTTTAGTGTCTGGTAAAAATCTGTGATGTAAATGGTTCTCCGAACAAATTTTCAAAATGTGGAACTATTTCCAGGATTAGGGGCCTTTTGACAGATAGTAAAAGTTTTAACCATGGATAGTACATTAAGCTTGGAAGTAGTTATGTTTTATAACAAGCCTATTGAAATAATTTTGCAAGTTTTGGCATAAATTAACAACTTTCACAAGTTTAATTATTGTTTTAATTGCAATTTTATGAGAAAAACAAAAATTGCAAAAAAAGAAAAGGAAAAAGTCCTTAATTAGATAAAGCTGTTTATAAATGTATACATTAAGAAATTATAGTCTATAGATTTTTGTAGCTGCTTAGATATGTGTTCTGTTGAGTCACATGAAGGGGCTATGGTTTAAACATATTGCCTTTAAAAAGAGACTTTAGAAGTAGATTGCCGTTAAAACGTAAGACATATGTATTGCATAAAATTGTAAAAAATTTTCCTAGTATAAGTTATTCCAAAAGTTATGCATGTGCCAATGTCAACTGAAGAGCTCTGTAGCTAAAAGTATTATTTAAATAATCCTATTGATGTCTATAAAGTATTCATATTTGTATAAACTGTTTGATAATGGCTTTATAGCATCTGCTACTGTAAGGCTACTGTTATCTCAGGGCAAGATTATGTCGTTACTAATTTTTCTTTTATTGTTACACACTTTACATTATTCATTCATTTCATTTTAGGTACTTGTGCCTTGGTATCTATGTTCCTAGTCATCATCAATCATGATTCATTTTTCGAGACTTTTAACTTTAATATTTTTAATCACCCCTGCCTTTGCTGTAGTAAAGATTTCCGTTCCACATGACATCCAGCCTGGATATAGTATAAAAAAGCTTAAATCTCATGGTCGGATACACTTATTAGAAGATGAGAGTTCACCACATTTTACCCTCCTTCAAGATGGGTCCCTTATATCTACATCAAACATTTCTGTTTTAGCAGGAAGTAAGGTCGATCTTATTTTAAAAGAAGAGTTGCACGACGAAACCTTAATACACCCCATAACCATCTATGTTAGGCATCGATTTCACATGTTGCAGTTTTCAAAACCGGAGTATCATGGATACATATTTGAAAATGAGCCACCGGAAACCACTGTGGCTGGTTTGAGTGATTTGGCTGTTTATAATGATGTTGGGATGGTCAATTATTCGTTGTCTGGCAGCTCACGGTTTGCTGTCGTACGACACAAAAATTCGATTTCGATTGTCTCCACCAAAAAGCTAGATAGAGAATCTAAAGCCACCTATAAGTTGTTGTTAAATGCGACCGATTCCCTTGGTGATGTTGCAATTGCAACTATTAAAATTGCTGTGAAAGATGTTAATGACAACCCACCAATATTTAGAAGAAGGAATTACAATTTTAATGTGCCTCTCGATACTCCTAAGCATTCCAAAATTGGATTAATCAGAGCAGTCGATGCAGATGGCGATAAACCAGTTTATAGCTTTTTGAACAGCAAGAGCAAGGAGTTTGTGATTGTTCCCAAAACAGGGGAGGTTTTATTGATGAGTGATAAAAAAATTGGCGTTTACAATTTATATGTCCAAGCGCATGACAATAGGATTCCAATGTTATATAGTGATGCCATCCCTGTTGTGATTAGTGTTGGAAATCTTGTTTCTGAAGAAAATGTTACACCCCATAGGAGATCGAAGCGTTCCATCAGACAAACGAGAACGTATGAGCATTTCTTGGAGTCTGATGCCAGTATGCCTGGAAAGGTTATGTTTCGATTAGAAAGTATTCGACCTGACGAAATTTTCACTCTCGAAAATGGTAGCCGTTGGATTGATGTTGATCACAACGGTGATGTGAAAGTGAAAGAACCGTGGGATTACGAACAGCTTGAACGTGAAAAGACTATCGATTTTTGGGTACAAATTAAAGCTCCTCAACAACCAGGTAAGTCAATTGTTTTTTATATTAGAACTTGATTGCTTAGCTTCTGTAAAATGCATTACTGATGAATTCCCTATTTTTTTACCTTAATATTACAGGTTTCAGTGTTAATTCCTTTGATCATATTTAAAAACTTTTTTTGGGCAGTTAAATTTCCTTGCATTTAATAATATTTTCTATCTTTTTTTTTCACCTTATAATTAAGGCGAAGGTTTGAAAAGTGCATATACTTTGTCTAAAGTAAGAACTCCCCCAACTGTTCCTTCTGGACCCCTGGCAGTGACTATGGTAACGAGGTATAACTATTTCAAGTAGGGATGTGGGATCATTGTTTAGGACAGGTTTTGACTCTGGTTGGCGAGAGAAAGGGAATCATTTCCTTTGGTCTACTATGTGAGCCTTAGAGTGAAGAAAAGCTACCTACCCTCCCTGAAATGCACTATTCTTGTTTTTATAAAAGCAGGCAGTCTCAGACTTTGTGGTGGGGGGAGTTCTTACTGTAGACAAACTATAGTTTGCTCTTAACAATCTCAACACAATTTAGTCAATGTGATAATCTAAAATTAAATTGGCTTAGTTGTACTAATAATCTTTCTTGCTTTATAAAATATGATCGCATACCTACCTTTTGTTTTTTTCATGATAATTGTATAACAAAAAGGATTTAACTTTTCAAAAGATTAACCAAATATGTTGTATGTATACGGGAGAAGTACATTAGCCTCAGGGTTATTACTATAAAGATTAATTATCTTAAAGATTATTACAATTAGTTATTGCTGCTTATAAAGCTGCCAAGTGAAAGAATAATTTTTTCTCCAAAATATTTGATTAATGGGCAAGGAAATATTGGTAAATAAATTGTTGAGTTTGTTAAATAAATGACAGGTCATTTCTCATGACAATGGAAATGTTGGCAGTTATAGAAATAAGTTTACTATATTATAAGTTTGACAAATAGTAGTTGCTTTAATAGTTAGAAAAGGTAGTGAAATATTAAAACCAGGGGTCTGTCCAGACATTTTGTGAAAGGTCCGATTTTCGTGAAATTGTGAAAAAATTACTCACATTCTTTCAACGAGGGTCCTGCTTCTATGAACTTGTGCAAATAGGGTCCGGTTATTTCAAAAGACTTTTTCAGGGAGTTTTTGAATTGTAAATAGATACAAGATTATGCTCAGCACTGTCAAATTATAATAAAAAAAATTACATTTTCAAAAATAAACAGCATTTGCTGCTTCTAAATTAGAGATGCAACATACAAATATTTGGTATTTAGCCTATTCTGCTGAACGCGGAATATTCATTTCGGACAAATAATGGAAGAATCGTCTGCAGATGACAAAACTTAATTCGTTTACTTCCATCTTTCTTGTTTTCCGCCCTGGGAAGGGTTTATTCAATTAGCAAAACAATAATGAAGATAAACAAATTTGTGATGGGTCCCATTAAAAGATAAATTGGTTCAGTAAACAGCCTGAGTCCTTGTTTGCGTAATTAAAGTTAAAGCCCTTTAAACTTTCTTATTAAATTTGAAGGAGGTCGTTTCAAAAATATTTTGGGGCGATTTTATTTAATTGAAATTTAAGATATTAATGAATAATGTGTACAATTTACCATTGCGTTTAAAGAAAACGGTACAACAAACAATGATGTTCTTAGGTTCTTAAAAGGTTATTTAATATTATTAATTCGTCTCCTTTTATTGATTACTGAATCAATTCAATCGGAAAATAATTTTTTTTTTCTTTCATCAAATTTTCTTTCTTTTTGTACCCCTTAATGTTATTCTTCAGATACCTTTACAGTTTGGACACTTTATACTTTGAAGTAGAAGTTCCTGTTCTCATATTCTAAACCCAAAAGAATCTGATGCCGCCTTGAAAAAAGAAAAAGTTTTAAAAATAACTGCTCGGCAGATGTTGAAGTACCTTTTTAGCGCGTGTTCTGAGCCATACATTGGACACGAGAGCGTGAAGTAGAATTTGCTATCAGTGGAATACAATGGGTTATGTTGTCCGGAAATAATAAAGTGGTCTCAGAGGCCTTAAATGCATTATTATATTTTGCATTACAGCAGCGATATTGTTCGATTTAACTGTGAAAGGGTGACTTGGAACTTCCTTTTTAAATGCCTACTTGATAATTTATGAATTATAAATTTAAAATGCCGTTCTGTTTTATGAAAGCTGTAGTTAGTTCTTACATTCATTACTACTTGCTTTGTTAGTGACCGTTTCCTTTATCTAACAATTGTTATTATTTTTTTTTATTTGCAACCCTTTAGATTTATTTTCTCTTTTGAAGTTTTATTTTTTTTCTTTCTCTATGATTAAAACATTTAAATTAAAATTTTTTTTCAAGGCTAAATATCTGTGTTCAAATTCATGTAAATGCCGAAAAATTTAAATCCCATTTTCCGCTGATGTGTATAATGGTACCATAAATATTAAGTTGTTACTGACTTTGACTACGTAATTCAGTTAAGCTTCTTGGACATGTTCGGCGATATAATGTGTGTTTTGAAATTTTGTGTGCTGAGCGTTACCACATGTTCTTAAGAATAATAAGAGAAATAGATCAGTGTATTGCTGTTCTTATTTTTTTAAAATAAAAGTTTTTTTTTTTTTTTTTAGAAGCCGTTTGTCATAACGATCTCTCATCTCAATCCCACAGAAATTGGACTTGTCACTAAGAAAAAAATTATGATCCGAATTTAAAATATAAGTGCTTAATAATCTATAGAGAAATAATTCTGTGAATTTCTTTTTTAAGAAGATTCGATCGTGTTTGAAAATCGAATTATAGCCACTAGTTGAGTTTTTTTTAAAATTATATTTTATTATTTTATTTTACATGTAAATAGGGCATTATTATTAAAGTTACAAGTACACGATCTTTTATGGAAGCAATAAATTTAGCCTACAGCTAAAATAGTTCAACGCAATACATTTAGTTCAATGTTAGTTGATAATTTTTATCCTTTTATGTATAAATCATATCCTTTCTTTCTCTTTCATTTATATTTAAATCATGATTAAGGACTCCATGTAGTATCTATTTTGGTATTATTTTTTTAAATTTTTTTTTATTGAAACTTAATTAGTTTAAAAATAATTATACTTTTTCTTTCCTAAATTAAGTTTTGGTTCGAAGCATTTAGCATCAGAGCTGCAGGTTGTGTACCTTTAATTAAAAGTAATATAACTGTCGTGAATTTTATAATGTTTAATAATTTTTGTCTACATTCGAATGTTTAATAAACTAGTAAGTATTCCGTTCCCCAGTTCGTCCTAGCATTTGTGTTTGTACGTTTATCATTTTATTGTAATTAACAAGATAATTGCAAATTATCTACCCTTTTAAGCATTTTCGTAAAGATTTCTAATTGTTATTTTAAGTATAGCCCATATTTCTTTTAAGTGAAAAGATATTAGGATATTTTCTGATCCTTATTCTCTCGCAACATCTTTCTATGTTCAAAATATGTATGAAAAAACCATTTCACCCCATTTGATTTTTGAAAAAAAATCTGATGAAATAAAAGTATTATTAAACGGTTCCCCCTTCCTCTTTTTTTAAAATTCCAGATGCTCCTGTAATTGCATGTTCCATTGTGTAGTTTTTTTTCCCCCTTTCTTCTTATAATTAGATGAAGTTTTAGGTTTTGGGGATAATTTGGTTCGAATTGCTGTGTGATTCAGCAGCAGTTGTGAGTCTATAGTAGTGTATTTCCATATCTAGTTTGGAGAGGGGAGAGTCGAGGAAAAAAAATTGTTTGTTCTTCCTTCATCTAGTTTCGTTACTGACGATCAGTGGCGTATCTAGGGTATGGCAAGTATGGCGAATGCCATGGGCGCATTATTTCAAAAAGGCGCAAAATCGATCAACATCAACGATTTTTTTACTTAAAAATTTTATTAAGTGTTTTTTTTAAATTCATATATATCGGGTTGAGTAAAAAGTTTTCCGCCAAGAGGAGATACCTCCGTGCCAGCAGCAGCCATTCCCGTGGTAGTTAACCTTTTCTGAAATGGGCTTTTGCATTTTAAAGCTGAAAGTTGGAACTAACAACTGTGTAATTTGTTTGTCAAAACTTCATAATCTTGTGCACCAGAAAAGTGTTTGAAATGGAGCTATCACGTAAGCAGATCAGAACGATTATGTACTATGAATTCCGAAATAAACTCAGTGTAACTGAATGCCACAAGAAAATGTGTGAAAGTTTAGGTTTCAATACTGTTTCTTATGATACAGTAAAAGTTTGGTTTCGAAAGTTTAATAATGGAAATTTCAACATTGAAGATGAACCACGTTCTGGCCGCCCTATTGAGATTGATTGTGACCAATTAAAGTAAATTATTGATCAAGACAGAAATGTTTCAACACGAACCATTGCGTTAGAGCTTGACGTTTGCCAAAAAACAATAGNTTTTTTTTTTAAATTCAATTCAATCTTTTTGTGATATTGTCAAAAGAATTAAATACTTCAAACAATGCTTTTATTTTGTATTGGATAAAAAAAAAAAAAAAATTTAATATTTTAGTAAGGGCGCCAGTAAGAGGTTTGCCATAGGCGCTTCTTTCCATAGATACGCCTCTGCTGACGATTGAAGCCTGGTTAAATGAACAGATGTTTCATTTTTTTTCGGGGATTGAACTCCTTATACCCAGTCTTTCGTGATCGACCTATTGGCGCCGAAACACTTGGCAAACAATAGCTTAATTCAAATAGTTTTTGGTGAAATTCTCTCTCTGCTGTTATGCTATTTGATTTCTGTATTTTTTTTTTTAATACATAAAAAAAAAAACCTAAGTTTCTTCGTTATTGTTGAGTGTTATTTAATATAATGCTTTCTTTAATTATAAGTGCGGTTATAATTACAGAGATGCCAACTTGCTCCGGACGGTAAATATATATTTTAAAGTGGTAGTTTATCAATTGTGATTCTTGGTTTAATAAATTAAATTTTGTAGATTTTTATCCACCACTATTTCTCAAT